AAATGGAGTGCTTTAAGTTGTTCACTATAGCACTTAGAATCAACTTGTAAATGTGTTGATTAAAGCTATCAAGACTGAACATATTATCCATTTGAGTGATGATATTGGTGTTGTTGACTTTAATCTTAAATGTGGATTAAGGGATGATGTTGAAGTGTAATCCAAATTCTGATTTAAGTTGCATTTAGATTTTAAATCTGAGTTTCATTTTGTTGTTCATGTGGTATAAATATTGAACTCAAGTTTAGTTTGTAACAAAACAAATTCATTTTGTAATCGTTTTCAATTGAGAAGAAAGTTAGTTAGAACTCTCTCTCTATCTCTCAATTTCATCATCTTCTTCGTTCTTGTGCACCAACAATTCCAACCAATAATAACATCTCGAATGTGCAATAATTTGAAATTTCTAAGAGATGAAGAATAGATGAAATTAAAATTTTATGGAAATTTTAATATGAATTAAGAAGATAAAGAAAAAAAGAAGAAAAAAAATATTATATTAATTTAAGTTTTTTATGTGTGATTTTGAGTGGTTGTTTTTCTATATCTATTTTATTTTGGTTAAAGATGATTCATTAAAAAAAAAATTATTATGTTCTCGAAGAAGATTATGGTAAAAGATTTGTTTTGGATTTTTAATAATTTTCTTTTAATAGATATGGAGCAAGATTTAAGATTATAGATATGGAATTTTGAATATTCTAACTTTATTATAAAGATGATGAAAGTTTGTTGTTGACATGTCATTAAATATCTAAGAAAAGGTTCCACTTAATATTCAAGTCATCCATATTAAAAAAAAATTTTATAATGCTAATGAGTATTTTAAGAACATTCGTTAAGAGTTTAAAAAAATATTTTATTTAAAAATATTTGTATTAAATATATTAAAAATTAAAATAATTGATTTTAAAAAAAATAAATTATATGTTTTTATATAAAACATTTGAATTTAATGCAATGTTTTTTTATTTAAAATTCTTAAGACACTCGTTAGCATAATTTTTTTTTAATTAAAAAAAATACATTATCTATTAATATACTAATTTTAATTTCTTAAGACTCATGCAAAGGACCATATTAACCAATAAAAATGTACTGAATAAGTAAGCAAATTGAAATAAATAATTAGGCTTAATCAATTGGTCCATGAGAAAGAAATAAATTCTGCGGATTATCATGTGAATTGTTTTTTGTGAATTTAAGAATTAAACTTAAAAGAATTTCTAAAAAAGAAAAAATACAGAGATAAAAATCAAAAACACTGACAAATTTTAAAATCAATAGACTATTTAAATCTAAGAATTAAATAAACAAATTACAAATCTAATTAAACTAATTAATATAGTAAATTATCTATAATCTATAACAATATATAAAGACAATAAACATTTTTGGTGTAGCTTTTTTATTTTCAATTTTGTCCCTAATAAATTGATTTTATTACATTCTTTTATTAGTTAGTTATTATTCTTCATCTTTCGTAACTTCTATGCGGTTTCTAAACCAATCCATATTCTCTCTCCATTTTATATTCTTCCCATTAGATATATTGAGAGAGAGAGAGAGAGAAAATGTTGGAGAAGCAAATTAAAGATATGGAAGAAAGAAAACAAAGATGAAAATGAAAGAGAAAGATAATAATGGTAACTGCTATCTTTTCTATAGTATTTCTCTAAATTAACTTTATATTTTCTGTTATGTTCTTTTCACAACTCTTATTAAGTTTTTGTTTTTAATTAGTTTGAAGACAGTGAAGTAGAAAAAAGTTGTTGTTAATATAAACATAGAAATTTTTTTTAGGAAGAAGAGGTTAGTTTTCTAATTTTCATACTATATTTTTTTAATTTTAATATTCTCACTAACTTTTAAAGTTTAACTATTTTGATCGATTCCTTTACCTATTTTTAATTTTATTCATTTCATTCTATTGTTTGATTAATAAATGAATATTATTAAAAATTATTTAGTATCATCGGTAATGCATAAGAAAGAAGTCAAATTTCTTTGTGTTCTTATTATTTTTAATGTGTAATTAAATCTTAATGATAAATTCATATTTTTGGTGTAGTTTCTTTGAGTATCAACAACATAATGCCATTTTTTTATTCACGTATCATTCCTTTTGTTTTAAGTATTCTACCATTTCCTTTTTTTATCACATACTACCTGCATTTTTATCTTCAATATTTTCATTTTTTCAATTTTTCTTCTTCAAAATTTAAAGATTCTTAAATATTTAAGAATACCTAATAACTTTAATTTTCTTACACATATTTTCTACATCACTACTTTTATATATTTGATAATGATTCTTAAATTTCTTTTTAGTTTTTAATGGATAAATCAAGTAAGATAGAAGAATGTGCAAGACAATGGGAAGAACACAGAGGCATAATCTTTCAAAATGTAACAAATATAAATCATTCACTTATAATTATTTCTATAGGTTTGATTAGTTATTAAAAGTTATTCATTTTAATTATATTACTTTGTAGTTTTTTGTATTTTTGAACCAACTCTATGTAAAATTATTATTAAAGTTGTTAATTATTATATAAATTCTATTTATTATATCACAATTCTAATAAATTTATTAATATCTGCGAACACTCCACCGAAGTAGATACGTTATACTGAAAAATGTCTTATGTATTTGGTTTTGCAATGTTGATTGATTATCTCTCTTCTTTTCTTTCTTAAATTCTTCGTTTAAAACTAAAGAAAAAACTCATCTCTCTCATTTTTATTTTTATTTTTGTAATATTTATGTTATGTTTTTAAAGAAAATTGAAGAAACTATTAATTTCAAAAGAGGCAGAATGCTACATATATGCGGCAAAACTTGAAGGGATTTCAAATGATCTTTTTTACACAAATATATATTTTCCATGCAACTATTGAAATGAGTGTACAGAAGATACTTCTACGGAATTGTACTTATATTTTAATTTATTCACATTTCTTAAATTTTGTTTATTATATATTTTTCTCTATATACGTTGTCTATTTTACTTAGTTTTTGAAGAATAATTTATATGTTTTTTTTTGTCTAACAAGAACATGAAACTTTTAATCTCTCAAAATTTTGTTTATTTCACTTTATGTGAGATTAATTTATTTGTGAGTTTTATTTGTATTTATCTCCCTAACTTTTATTTATGATTTCTTTTTATTCTCAGAAAAAAAATTTCTTTTTATAATATTTATTATGGTTCTCTAAACTCTACTTAATATATTCTATAACTATTATTTATTCTATAACTATTATCTATTCTATAATTATAGATAAAGATAAAGAAGATAGATGGTTTTGGACAGACCTATTTCATTCTCATTTTATCCTTTAAGTTGTATGCAATTTATTTAATTTTTAAAAATAAAGTGCTAACAAAATGATACAGTTTTTTTTATAAGATGAGCATAACTATCAAAGTTGGTTTTTTTAATGGAAAAAAAAACCAATTTTGATAGTTATGCATCTCTTACAAAAATGATGGAAGTGCAAAACACACTTATAAATGAATAGAAAATGGAAATTCATTCACTTAGTGGCAACATAAAAAAAAATACATCATCATACTCCACTATTTATGGTTTGTGAAAGATAAATAGAGAAAAAAAAATTCTTCATCTTCATCTCTTATTTGATCACCAGTCTCTAATTCCTTCTCTAATTATTTATCATATTTCATTGTTAATTGATATGAAGTTTCTTTTCTTTTACAATGTTATGATTATTTCTTTAAGAGATAATTTGCCTTTATTTTATAATCTATTTTGTTGATTTTACATTTGGTTGTTGCAACTAAATATCAAATTATATTGATTTGGTTAGAGAATATTATTAAAAACAATGAAACATTATTTTTAAGTGTCTTTTTTTTTAACCCATTGGTCTTAAAGATAAGAAATATATGAATTGTTTATTTATGAATTGGTTCATCTGTATTTAATACAATACTAATAATATAATAGAAAACGAACAATAAATATTAAAGATTACACACCTCCAAGATAATGCAGGGAAATGAGAATCAAATGTTAAAACATTTCTTAAAGTATTGCTTCAATAAATGAAAGAGTTTTGTTGCAACAATCTTTGCAAGCATTTCATTGACCATATACTTAATAAAAAATTAAATTAATAAAATTAAATTAAAACTAAAATTAAATAAAAAATATATTAATGAATTACTTCATTTGTTTTGCAGTGAAACGAGATATATTTCTCATTTTGATTTCATGGTTGACCTTCCTATTAAGTAATAATGTAACTTAATATCCGTATTAATGTTTATGTTTAGTTGCTTAATAAATTGTGAGAAAGATTTTTGTTCTTCTTCTATCTAAATCTTCTTATGGTTTTGACTAATCTATAGCAATATATAAATACAAAACTTAATGTTTGGTCATATAAATAATTTATATTAAAATCAATATAAATAATTTATAGTAAAATTAAATTTATAAAAAAATACACTGTTAATATTTTTGGGCGTTAGCATAATAAAAAAAGCGGACAAACGGACACGGACACGGACGTGCCCGTTTAGACGCTAGTAATAATATTATTGTAATAGAATTCCTTGGATAGTAACTAGACCACATCCCGTGAATTACGCTCAATCGTTTTGAAAAATCATAGCACAATTGTTTTCCATTCAGTTGAAATTTTAGAGTCTCAAAAAGTCCTCACTAACGATCTTGATTACTGTTTGGTACGTGATTCTCTTGTCCACATGCACATACCAATGAAAACCATAACTATACCGTTCTTACATGTGATTCTTTTTACATTTTCTCAATATAAATTACTTCCTTAATTCTTATGCGGAAATTTTATAGCCAGTCATTTAGAATCAATTTTCTAAATAATTTGTAAATGTCAACATCATTCATACTCTTCACAGACTGAGAAATTTCCTATATAGTAGTCACATGATCATAAGAATCAAGAGCCAAAACAATATTTCTTTCTTTACTTGCAAAAATAATCAATGGACCTTAATTTTCTGTTTTCACTTCTTCTCATTGCTCCTTGGTTTTTGTTAACCTTTCATGCCAATGCTGAGATAACTTCCACATATATAATCCATATGAACAAATCCCTCTTTCCTCAAATCTTCACTACTCATCATGATTGGTTCAAATCCACCATTCATTCCTTAAAATCAAAAACATTATCACTTGATGGTCATGATTATGATTATGATCAAGATCAATCATCAAAGCAATCACTGAAGAAGAAACTAGTGTACACCTATGATAATGCCATGTATGGCTTTAGTGCTGTTCTATCTTCAAAGGAGTTAGAGACTCTTAAGAACATTGATGGCTTTGTATCAGCATATCAAGACAAAACAGCCACCATTGACACAACTCATACCTTTGAATTTCTCTCCCTAGATTCTCCGAGTGGACTATGGCATACTTCGAATTTCGGTGAGGATATAATCGTTGGTGTTATTGATTCCGGTGTGTGGCCTGAGAGTCAAAGCTTTCAAGATGATGGCATGACAAAGAAAATTCCAAGCAAATGGAAAGGAACATGTGAAGTTGGTCAAGAGTTTAATGCTTCCATGTGCAACTTCAAGTTGATTGGAGCTAGATATTTCAACAAAGGTCTTATTGCTTCAAATTCAAATGTTACAATCCTCATGAACTCGGCTAGAGACATTGCGGGACATGGAACTCACACGTCATCAACAGTTGCAGGTAACTATGTTAATGGAGCTTCTTATTTTGGTTATGCTAAAGGAGTAGCAAGAGGCATTGCACCAAAAGCTAGGCTTGCTATTTATAAAACCAATTGGCACGAAGGTCGTTTGGCTTCCGATGTTTTAGCTGGAATGGATCATGCAATTGTTGATGGCGTTGATGTGATTTCAATTTCCATGGGATTCGATGATGTTCCACTCTATGAAGATCCTATTGCAATAGCTTCATTTGCAGCTATGGAGAAAGGGATTGTTGTTTCATCTTCTGCAGGTAATTTAGGACCTAATCTTGGAACATTGCACAATGGTATCCCTTGGCTAATTACAGTGGCGGCAGGAACAATAGACAGAACTTTTGGAACTCTTGTTTTGGGAAATGGGCAAAACATCATTGGTTGGACTTTGTTTCCAGCAAATGCTATAGTTGAAAATCTTCCACTTGTTTACAATAAATCTTTATCTTCATGCAACTCAGAAAACTTGTTATCTCAAGTTAACAAACAAGTAGTCCTTTTTTGTGACGACGAATCAATGATAAACTCGACATCAGTGTTTCATCAAATCAATACTGTTGCAGCAACAAGTGTGTTGGGGGCAGTTTTTGTTTCTGATAATCCTAATTTAATTGATTTAGCAAATATTTACTCTCCGATTATCGTAATCAACTCAAAAGACGCAGAAACTGTGATCAACTACGCAAAAACACACCAAAATCCAACAGCAAGTATTAGGTTTCAACAAACACATGTTGGAATAAAGCCAGCACCAACTGCAGCACAATACTCTTCAAGAGGTCCTTCACATAGTTTTCCATGGATTTTGAAGCCTGACATAATGGCACCTGGCTCTAGAATTCTCGCTGCTTATGTTCCTGGTAAAGCATCGGGTAGAATCGGCGCAAACGTGTTCTTACCAAGTGAATTCAATTTCATGTCAGGAACATCCATGGCTTGCCCTCATGTTTCCGGCGTTGCTGCTCTTCTGAAATCCGCACATCCAGAATGGAGTGCTGCAGCTATAAGATCTGCATTAATAACCACAGCTAATCCTATGGATAACACACAAAATCCAATAAAGGATAATGGTTACCCTTCTCAACAAGCTTCTCCTCTCGCTATTGGTGCGGGCGAGATTGATCCTAATAGAGCAATGAATCCAGGTTTGATCTACGATGTTACTCCACAGGACTATGTTAATCTTCTTTGTGGTTTGAACTTCACAAAGAACCAAATTTTAACAATTACAAGATCAAGTTCTTATGGTTGTGAAAAGCCTTCTTTGGATCTTAATTACCCTTCATTTATAGCTTTTCACAGTAACAAAACAAGATCAATGGTTCACAAATTTAAGAGGACAGTTACATATGTCGGTGATGGTGCTGCTACATATAAAGCTAAAGTGACACATCCACAAGGTTGTTTGGTGACAGTGTCACCTGATATATTAAACTTCAGTTATAGAAATGAGAAACAAAGATACCACATTGTCATAAAGTATGTAATGTACGAGAAGGAAAATGTTTCATTTGGGGATGTTGTTTGGGCTGAAGATGGTGGAACACACTCTGTTAGAAGTCCTATTGTTGTGGCACCAAGTGGAATTGAATGAGTTCTTAGGTTTCTCTTTTTTTTCTTCCATTTTTTCGTACCTTTTGTATGGGTCCCTTCAAAAAAAATAATTGTAAGCGTACTAAAAATTATTGCATGCACTAAAAAGACAAGTTTCTTATTTGATCTTGTGACTCATTGCATTGGATTTTCTTCACTGGAGTTCAGTGACAGATCACGGGTCACGGGTCAGGAGGAGCCGTGAGAAATGACAAACACACAAAGTATTGGTGGCTTTTGGAGAAATCTTAACTTTCCTCTCAATCTGTCATTGTATTAGAAAAAAAATACCAATTTACCATTCATTTCAATATAAATACCAAACAACCATACTTTTAAAAAAAATTCCATTTTTATTTGACTGCAAAAAGTTTGGGAACAACCCATTGAATGGATGGCAGTGTACAAATAAAAAGAAGGTTTGCCCATTGAATGAACCCTAGTATATAAGGTGATTTTAATTTTTAATATTACTAGTTTTTAATAATTGATTATAGTTATTAATAATTAATTATAGTTATTATAGTTATAAATAATATGATATTAATAATTTTTAATAATTTTAATTGATTATAGTTATTAATAATTTTTAATAAGATTAATTGATTATAAATAATATTTATATTAATAACTTTTAGTAATGTTAAAATAACAATTAAAACAAATAAATGATAATGGAAAGAAATATTTATTTATTTATTTAATTAAAAAGAAGTATGTTACATTCTTATATATCCTTGATTTTGACTCGGTCGATGAAAGTGTTGGTGGATTTCACAGGCAGGAGTTTGTCTAATTCAAGTAGATCTTCTACAATTTTCATCAATATTTGTTGGATGAGTAAAAAGATTAGTTAAAAATACTATAAATAAATTTTAAATGTTAATAGTATAAGACTTGGAGATATTACATCATCTGTCTCGAAATGATCGAAGAACGCCCGATATCCAAGAGCACACTGATGAAGAATTTTTTTCGTAATTCATTCTATATGTGGACCACCTGAAAAAGAAATATTTATTAAAAAAATATATTAAAATAATAACTTTTTTAAATGTACTTGGTTGCATATGGAAACTAGAGTGGATTGGGATTCATTGGTGACAGTCTTGCATTCTGGACCAACCCCAAACTTGAAGTAAAACTCCACATCCAACAAAAATATGCACATTTCCTTTAGCGCATCTACACAAGTTTCTGTATAGATGCGATAAAGTAGCAGTGCGCCAACTATATCTACCTATTATATTTATATTTGCTAATAATGGTAAAAACTGAAGATGTATAGTGTTACCATTAGTATCAGGAAATAATAAACATGCAAAAACAATAAAATATACATTTTAGTTTTCATAAGTTTCAATTTCTCGCGGGAATTCTCGTCTAATGTCAAAGTCTTGTCATGGTCCCTTAGCCATTTAATTTTAATGTTTTGCCCTTTTCTATCATTGTCCTCCAAAGGCATCCCCCAATAGTTCTTGAATCATCTCATATGTCACATTTGTGCGGCCAACAATCGCTAACCCATTCACACGCAAACCTAACAACATGTGGACATCCTTCAAAGTGATTGAACATTCACCGATTGGAAGATGAAATATGTGAGTTTCGGGTCTCCATCTTTCACATAAGGCGAGAAGAAATTTCTATCAATATTGTATGAAGTAATGTTGATAATGTGACCAAAGCTCGCTTGTATCAAATATGGACGAATCATCTCATCGACCTCGACGTATGGATGTGAATGTGGTTTGAAGCTTCGTGTTGGATATTGTGGTTGTTGAAAATATGTAGCAGCACTTGAGCAAAGAAGGTGTTGATGAAGATTGCACTTGAAATTCAAAGCGTGTGAATTTCACACTAACCTTTAGGTTCAATTTGTCCCCTACTAATTATTATATATTGGATGCAATAAGGATTAACGACGAATTCCCTTCAGGATACTTTGAATACCTTAATGTGAATTGCACAAACACATTAAGCTTATCTTTTGATAATAGTTTACAGAAAATTATTTCCTATACTTCACACATGCATTAATAAAGTAAAAAATTATTTTAGAATAATTGAAATGGTGAAAAATGGATGTGAATATTTCTATTTTCGTGTCCATTTTCTGATTTCCAAGTGCCTCAATTAATAGAATAATTTAGGTCAGTTGATGAAGAAAAACACCACTTGAAAATGAATTTTGCATCTGTTCAATCAAAATTTATAACACTTCGGATTCAAATTAATAACCAATAAACATGTTGGTTCAGTTGGCAAGGTATCTTTTCTCGCACCGAAGAGATACGAGATTGGACCACATGTTGGTTCATTTTGAATTTGTTTTTTATTACTGTTAATAAAATGAACTTTATTAAAAAAAACCACACACCCTTACATCAAATCTCAAATACCTTACCACTAGGACATTGAACCATTTGCTTATTAATTTTACTTATAATTAATATATACAAAATTTCATCTTCCAAATAATATTTTAAAAATATCTAACAATCCCCCACCATTTATAAAATATAACTAAATCTCATATTTCTGGAAATATCATGGTTTTAGATAATAGTATCTTACGATTTGAACCATTACTTAGTAAATTAAGTTTTCACTCATCCCCGAATAGATTGGTAGACAAGTTTTGAACCAATTATTCATTAGAACAAGCGTGCATAATTCACACAGGAAATCTCGGTACTATTAAAAGAATTATAGAAATTGACATATTTAACATGACCTTGCATCACGTACCCTTTTCACAAGAATTTAAGAGTAAGGCCCTTTAACTCTATGAAGCAATCTCACTTTATTCTCGTATAGGTAGACTATATATCACAAATGCAATCTCATCCTACCATATTTATTCTTATGGTTCAAGTGCTTTTACTCCTCGAGACGTATCTTCTATCAAGTACTTCAATCACTCTAATAATGTACTTTCATCATTGAACTCAAGACTTTGACATTAATCAAGTGTGAGTTGAGTTTCCATCATTGGTGATTAGTTAGATATGGGCTTATATCACATCCCTATATGATATCTTCAACATCATATCCTTGTCAATTATTTCATTAAATAATTGCAAAATGTTTCTATTTTATTAATTTTGAATATTCAAACACACACATAGATATATCTTTTATTTATTTTTGATAGCTTAACCAACTATCACAATCATGACAATGTAGTCATTAAATTACTTTTTATCTCATACTAACATTTTAAATCATTCAACATTTGTTATTAAACCATTTAATAACAAGCAATACGATTTAAAGTTTGACTTTTCTTTCAATATACACTAGAAGTAGGAATATGTCAGACCAACTAACAAGGGCCTACGACCTAGCCTACATAGGCCCAGGTCAAGCCAGACTTTTTCTTAAATAGAAAAGGCCTAGACTTTTTTATAAGCCTATTTAGCTAAAGAGACTAGGCCATAGGCCGTAAGAAAATCATTTTATGTCTATCAGGTCGGCCTATTTATAAAAATTTAAATAAATTTATTAATATTATATTGTATTTTGTACTTTGAATTAAAATACGAAAATAAAGCTTAGTTATTTTGAACAACTTATGAAAAAAATTTGAAAAAATATTATAAACAATATCATAAGTTGTTGACATAAGTGTTTTTCCATAAGTTCTCTCCAACAAATAGTATCACCAAACTTATACTAATAAGTAAACTCGAATGAGGCAATAAAAACAATCATATAGTCTCAATGATATTTTAATTTATTGTCTCATTTGAGTTCTTCTCTTTGTTCATCTTTTTCAAGAACCTACATTCACTTTTAAAATGTCGCGGTTTTCCACAATGGAATCAACTTCCTTTTTCCCTTTTTCTTTGTCAATTTCCATTGTTGTCACAAATCTTTCCATCTTCCGCAACATGTATTTTCTCATGAGTAAATTGGTCCTTAGTATCTTCTTCTTTGTGATACTTTTCTTCTAAACGAAGGTGATTACCCAATTGTTCAAGAGATATATCCTCCTTTTTATATTTCAAGGTCCTTTTTATATCTGTCAACGACGATGGAAGTTTGTCTATTATGGAAGACACAATGATGGTTTCGTCCATGTGTATATTGTGTTGTTTGTAATTATTAAGAATACGTTAAATTTCATGTAACTGTTCCATAACAGATCTATCATCTACCATTTTATAATTATTAAAATAGGAAACAAGAAACTTCTTACTTGTAGCACCTTCTTGCATCTATCTTGACTCTAGTTTATCCCACATATCTTTTAAGGATTCACTGCTTTGATAAATATTGAACAAGGAGTCTGACATACCGTTGAGAATATGGCTCATGCAAATGTAATCATCATTGTCCCATTTTTGTCTCTCCCTTGTTTCAACAATTGTTTCTTCTTCCCTTTTTACTGGTCTTGTTGTATTCAAAACATATCTCACTTTCAAAGTTTTAAGCAAAAATTTCATCTTTTTCTGCATACGGATAAAGTTTCCTCCATCAAACTTATCCAATTTCATAAAATTAGATGTCATTTCTTTGAGTGGCGTTGTCCTTTACTAAGTAATGAATTGAACCTAAAGATTGTTGGATATTGTGGTTGTTGGAAATATATAGCAGCACTTGAAAGAAGGTGTTGATGAAGATTGCACTTGAAAATTTAAAGCGTGTGAATTTTACACTAACCTTTAGGTTCAATTTGCCCCTACCAATTATTATATATTGGATGCAATAATGATTAACGGTGAATTTCCTTCAGGATACTTTGAATACTTTAATGTGAATTGCACAAACACACCAAGCTTATCTTTTGATAATAGTTTACAGAAAATTATTTCTTATACTTCACACATGCATTAATAAAGTAAAAAATGACTTTAGAATAATTGAAATAGTGAAAAATAGATGTGAATATTTCTATTTTTGTGTTCATTTTCTTAATTCCATGTGCCTCAATTTATAGAAAAAAAATGAAGAAAAACATCATTTGAAAATGAATTTTGCATATGTTCAATCGAA